CTTTTTATTTATTTGCTGGCCAGCCAGCTAGCTAGTTGTGTGCCCATTTCGAACTGGACACAGTAGCCACCGCAGCGGAGCCACTAAAAATTTACTAGCTGACGAAAATGGTACGAATATGCGCCCATTGGCCCCCTTTTTTTCATCCGCCACTTGATGTGTTTTTCAACAGATTGTTGCGCCCATCAACGTCAACACATCTCTATGGGTATATCTATATATCTCTTTCTGCATCACTCAAGGTGGGGTGAAATGGTTGAAATGGAGCTTTTCTGACACAGCCTATTAATGCATTTGGTGGGCATGAGTAATGCGGGGAAACTCATTTTAAATGGAGCTCAGAATTAAATAGAATGCCAGATTTAAGGTTTCTCCATTTGAACTGCATGAAATTCGCATTATTTGCTTCACAAATTACGGTCAGGTTGTGTTTGCCAGGCCCCAATGACCACAGGAGAGTCCCTCGTTTTGTCTAAAGCCTCCACTTTTCGAGGGAATTCATGACCCTTCCGCCAAACCGCATCGATTCGGATTCCTTTTTGGCACGAAACTCATTCTTTGGCCAAATCATAAGCAGAAAGCGTAGGGTAAAGACAGGCCCAAACGGAAAGTACAAAGTACACTGAGAGAAATGTAATGTGCAATTTAATAAGCATAAACTAAACTAAACGATTTAAAATCTTAAAAAATTACAAATTTGAAGTATTAATACCTCACTATTTATTATAAAATTCTATACTTTTCTCCCAGTGTCCGAACTCACGAACTGCAATGGCATTTTGTTGTTTTTTCCGCGTTCTTCGCTCTTTTTTGCATTTTGTTTAGCGCTGCGATTTGAATGCAGAAATAAAATTTTACGATCAAACAAACTATTCGTGCAGAACATTGGGAAATTGTGTTTACGTTCATTGGAACGGTGCATGGGCAATGGATATGGATACCCCCTGTTTTTAGGGGGGGAAATTCTGGGAAAGGGGGGTATTCAAGGGGTGTATATAGGTTATATGGTCCCTGGTATTCGAGTGGAGTGTCTCTCCTGGCCGAATGAATGCGAAATGCGAATGCATTTCAATAATTTGCCGTCGAGGGGCCGTCGCTTAGAAAATTATTATAAATTTTGTTCTCTCCCCCGAACGTGCCCCCTTGAACCCCCCTTCCCTCCCTTGCAACTTTTTTGTTGTTGCTGCATTGCCATTATCGTTGCCTTGCTGCTGGCTTTGTTTTTGTTCTGCTTCAATAATAATTTTGACCCACTTTTGCGCTCGACTTGACTTTTTATTGTACTGAAATTAAGTATTATTTTTTTTGCGTTTTTCTTCTTTTTTTATTTTTGCCAGCGGTTCTGCTCGGTTCTCGGCGTATTTTTGAGGGCAAGACAAACAGTCGCTCATAATAATATTTGTACATAGTCTCTTGCCAGCAGCAAGCAGCAGTGAAAAACAAAGCTAAATAAAACGAAAAATAAAAACTGGCAAATATTTTTCAAGTCTCGGCTAATTGCCGCTGCCAGCCAACTTGGATTTGAATTCTGTTTTTCCACCGAACCCCATTCCCCCTTTTTTTCCCCACCACCTCTGCACTTTTCCCTTGTTGTTATTGCTAATTTCTTGACGTCACCACAAACGTCGTTGTTTATGCAGCCTTCGTCACTGGAATTTTCTGCCAAAGGGTAGCTAAATCGCTTCTCAGCCAATTTGCATTGGAAATCGGAAATCAAATCGATGTCATGACTAATACATTAGTTAATTGACTTTATCACTTCTTATTTTCCTGCAGTTTTCCCCCGACCAAGTCGAACTTGTTGAATAATTATTTACAACTTGTTATTGTTGTTCTGAATTTGTTGTGTATTTTTTGTTGATTTCGTTCTTAATTCTCTTTTTTTGTTTTGCAACGGTAAACTTGTTTGTAAATTATTTTTATTATTATTGTTGTTGGGGCTGTGTGTGTGTTTTTGTGCTGTTCTTTTGCTTTTCTTTGCTCGCTGCCAGTTTCCCATATTGTTTGTTTTTGCAATAAACAACAGAGGCGAATGCAACTGGCGTGGGGATGGAGGGGTAGAGGGGGTTTTGCTCCCCCCGGCGACGGTTGCTGTTGTTAATCATTGCAATTACAACAGCAGCAACTATAACTGAGTAACCTGGCCAATTGACGCTTACACGCTTTCATTAGACGAACGACCCCCGGGGGTGGGGAGGGGAAGGGGGTTTTGGAGGGGTGCTTTCCTATATGCACATACAGTTGGGGTCCGCCGTCCACTCGAGCGTTAAAAATTAGCACTGACGCAACGCATTCGCCGCGTAAATTGACATTTACGCGATAATTACGCGCTTATTATATTTATTACCACTTTTTTTCCGCATTTAATTCGCTTCCATTTTTTTTCCCCCCGCTATTCTTTTTTTCATGATTACTTCTCTTCTGTATCATTATGCGTTCTTTGTCTGTCAACTGCAATTGCAGTGGGTAATAAAAGGTTCTTTATAGGGGCTACTTGAGAATCAAAGATGATTTGCAGCTGGATTTTCCTTGTTAGCTGGAGTTTTCCTTTTTTCCTGATTTTTTAAAAGCCCTAATCAACTATTACATCAAACGAGTGGAAGCTTTATGTGCCAGACAACCGGCAAAAGGTAAATATTATTCATAGAACGACGCTTGTTTACCCGGTGAATTAGCAAATAGGGAAAATGGTCAGAAAAATAAAGAAATGTTTACTCAAACTATCAGATCGGTTGCTAAACTATGTAAATTAATAATAATAAAAAGAATCGCATTAAAACCCGAATTCCGTGTGGAAAGAAGCGCGCACACACGTAAGCGAGAAAATCACATTTCAGATTAGCAAAGTTGGGAGGGGGGTTTTTTAAGGGGGGGTTTTGATATTACGTCGCATTACGCGAGAAGCGCGTGTCACTCGGTGGGCGGGCAGCGGGGGGCGTGGCTGGGGGCTGGGGAGCGGTTCCGTGCAAGGTGAGCGAGTTGTTATCATTCCACGTGTGTGTGAGTGCCGTCTCCCTCGCTCTCCAGATGGCATATCAAAACATAAAGAATATGGCGACGATAGACACTCGCACACACACACACACACACACACACACTCCGAATCGCGAGAGCTTTGTGCTTACAGCTTATTTGCGTATCTGTGTGTGAGCGGGAAAAAATACTTCCGCATTCGCAGGCGGGTCTCGAAACAATAACAGAATAAAATAAAAGAAAATAAAATGGAATAAAACCGAAGGGGCACCGCGGAGCAATGTGATAAACTAACTGAAATTGCGGCCAAACAACCGGCAATATTCGTTTTGGGTTTCACAACTACAGGGTGTCCCCCCTATGTGCCACATGCCACACATCTCGCGCTCTACGGCATTGTAATTAATTAAATTAAACTGGCCCAGCGACTCGCGCTGAACTCAATTGAATTTTATTTGAATTTTATTACAACCGACGGACACAATGAAACAGAAACAGAGAAACAGGAGCAACAGGAACATAAGCTGCAGCAGCAACAACAGTTGCAAGTGCAGCAGCAACATTGCCGCCTGGCTTTAGTTTTAGTTTTTCCAGCTGTTTTTAGTTTCGACTTTGGATGGTCGGCTGGCATTTGCGACGCAATTGAAAATGTCCCTCTATGCCGCCAAACCCCCACCACCCCCTCTTCAAAAAGCTCCCCTTTACCCCCCACCCCTGGCTGGACATGACGAGCCATATTTTGCCGCCTGCCTGCGCTTTTTGTTTTCAGCTCCCAGTTCCCTTTTGCGCTTTTCCTCTTTTTGCTTTCATTATTTTGATTATTATTGTTATTATTTTTATTATCAATTGAGAACGTGGCCGGCATTCAGCGTTGCCGCGATGTTCCTGCTTTTTTGCACACTTGACTAATAGTTTCGACTGCGGCGCGCGAGGCTTATCAATTGAAATTGAAATGGAATACGCAACCGTCAGCGGCGAGTGGCAGCCGCTTCAATTGCAAGTCGGAAACTTAATGCCCTGCAGTTGCCGAGATATTAATGGGGCCAAGTGATCAGCTGAAATATCTAGTTCACGAATGGATACCCAACCTGATTCGAAATTCCTTTTGATTGATCTCACTACTGGAAATGAACCTAGTCTTGACCTATTTTTCTCTTGCATGGTAACATTAAGCCGCATGCTAATATTTCCTCTACCTTGGTCACACTGCGCATGTTGTAACTATTCAAGAAATAAAAGCCCCCGTTTGATTAGGGCATTCAATTAGACTAAGACACCCGGCGCGACTGTTTGCCTTCGTAATCAAATGTTAGTACTTCGTATTTTGTATTTTTTGTCATCGCCGCCGTCTTTAAGTTCGACGTAGTCGTCGCGACGTCTGAGCTGGTAGTAATTGAAAATTTGAATTATTTTGCAATCAGCTGTCGTCCCGGCGGAATGGAGCATTGTGAAAGCCCCGCTGAAGGGGGGTCGAAAAAAGGGAGGGTTGCTTGGTTGGTTGGTGAGAACTCTTTATGTAAGTGCAGTTAAAGCGGCGTCTATGCTAAATAGCCTGGGCGTGGCCAGCCGAGGGCGCAGCTGGCCGACAAGACGGAGACACAATTTTATTATAGATATTATACATGGATCGGTCGATGTCCGTGACTTGGTGGCCGGTTCCGCTAATTTGTCGCCACTTATAAATTATTGATATGGCCCAGTCTCCACAGACGCCAATCGTTGCATATTTATGCAAAAGCCAAGCCAAAGTCGAAAACACACAAAACGAACGAATAAAATGCGAATAAAAACCGGGTACGACCGGCAAAACAAAGTGGGGGACATAATGGTTTCTTACTTGGTTTATACGTCTAAACGGATATTCATGTAAAGTTAAAAAGATACACAAAATTCTAGTTAGCTGGTCAAGTAACGTTAGGTATATTAGTTCTTTAGAACCTTGGGATTTACTATGGGCAAAAGACATGAGGCCCCAGAATTTTGTATTTCTTTATAGTATTTATCCATAGTTATTAAGTAGTACTCACTTGTGCTGCGCCGTCAGCTGCGATGGCACCTCAATACTGTGTGTGGTGGTTCTGCGGCGTTCACCACTCATGTCGGCGAGTCTGGCGAAGTCGGTGTCGCGATCCTGATCTGCCAGACGGGCGGAGCGTCGCGATTCCAACAGACGCACTTCGTCCAGGCGCTTCTTCAGCTCAATGGGTTCCTGTGAAGAGATAGAATGCAGACTTGGGTTAGTCAGAGTCCTCTTATCGTCTCACTGCGCTGTGCTGTGCTCGTCGTGAGTCACCACGCTTAAACAATTAAAGCGCACAACTTTATTGAGCATCCCATTAAAACTTAATGACCCAGTGTGGGCACTTTAGAGCGATTCCTAATTGAGAAAACGGCGACATGGAACACATCATATTCCTGGGGGTATTCTATTCGGCTGCAGGTTCCCTGGAAATCTGATTGGATTAAGGGCAAAAAAATATTTCCGAGAAGTGAAAACCAATTAAATTATAGTTCACAGGGCAAAAAAAAAGTACAACAAAATAGGTGGAATTATAATGAGTGATTCAAGGTTAATTACAGACCACCGTAAGCACTCCCTACATGCCCACAATCACCGGGTGAATAAGCAAAAAATCTAAAAATCAAAATAAAATAAAGCAAAACTTTCGAGGCGCGTGGGCGCTAATTGAGAAACCAAGTAAACTGCAATATCTGTGGGATATTGGGGGGCAACCTTGAATGAGGTCACTTGGTAACAACAGTTGCGATATAGCCATATCCTTATGCAATCACCTTTTCGCGTATTTTCAAGATCTCGCCGCTCAGCAATTGATTGTGACACTTATTATGCCAAACATCTGCATTCAGTTATTTGTATATTGTATATTTATTTATAAACTTTTCTCTATTGCACTGCACCACCAGAACGAACCGCAGCGAAATTAAATGAGACGAAAGGTGAGTATATTATTGGGTTTTTCTTTTTTTCGCCTTTGTATTTTTTGTTTTTGTTACGATTTATTGCGACTATAAAAACTGGGCTTAACTGCGATATTCCGATGCCGCTGTAACAATTTGTTTTTCGCGTCTGGGCAATTTGTTGAATGTGCGTTAATTGGGCACAAAAAGCCGGCCGGCAGCGTTGGCGGCTCTATAACGGTATTCGGGTGAAAATGCGTCAGCGATTTGAATTGGATTGGGGTTCGCTTTGCGTATCTGACGGATACGTTATGCGGCACGCACACGCACACTACCACACGCACACTCACTCTCTCGCACGGCGCGTGTTTATTTTTAATTATTCAAATTTTCGCTTGATCTTCTTTGCTTTCTTTTGCCTTCTGAATTTGGGCCACTAGGCCTCGTTCCTAATTTGTTTTTATAAGCTTCAAGAACTCAACTCCACTCTCCGCACTCCTCGGCTCTTCTCACTTCACTTGCACTTTTCTGGCGTTTTTTCTCGCTAGGCTTTCCTCTCGGCTTGCCTTTCCTACTTCTTGCGATTTTCGGTCTTGCGAATTTTTCTTGCGAATTTTTGTATCTTTGTATCTGCGGTCTGCTGGTGCGAAAGGTTCGCGCGCGCTTTCAAGAATGATTCTGTGCGCTGAAATCGCCGCAGTCGCACTCGTTCACCGGGCTTCGTGCTTCGGGTTTTCGCCAGGCGCTCGGCTCTTTTCGCGACTGCGCTCTCTGCGCTCTCTTTCGCCGGGCTCTCTCGCGGCCATTTGGCATTGGCCATTTTCCGGTTCCTCACTGCACGACGTTTGTTTTTGTTTCTCTGCTTTGTGCTGCCGTTTCGCATGCTTTGCCGTTTTGTTTATGTATCTTAATCTCTGCCGCACTGCGCCGCCGCGCTCTCTTTCACTCGGAAAGAAGAAGCACTCGGGCTCTCGCTCTCTCCGCTCCCCCGCAAAAGAGCGGATTTACGTGACGTAACTCAAAGATACAAGTGATATCGGCCCGTATCTTTGAGCTTTTCTGCAGGTTTTAGCAAAAACTGGCCTTATACAAAGTCTTTTTTTTCTTGTGCCGATCTCGCCTTGATTTAAGTGCTATTAACTTTGACTTAAGAGAAATATCTTCTGCTTTATGACGTCGGTATGACGAAAGCGCTTCTTTTTACCCCTCTATTTCGCCGGGTTTTTTACTGTTTACTGTTTTTTGTGAGCTCGCTGGCTTGCGCTTTTTGAGCTCAGCTCACGCTGGGATTTTTACACTTCGCCGGGGATTTTCGCTGGGTTTAGGACTTAATGCCATCATCTTTATGCGGTGTTTATGGCGGACATACTAAAACTTGATGAAGCACTAGCACATGTAGTTCATTGGGGGCGGTGTTGAGGGAGGGGCTACCGTACAGTCTAACTCGTCTAACTCGAAACTCTATCCGCCACATTAAAAATCTACTTAGGGGGTAAGAAAACTGCACATTTAAAAGAATGTTATTTACATTTTTTAGAGACTTATGTTCCGTAAACACCGTTTCGGTTTTGTAGCCATCAAGTTTACATTTTTTTTTTATTTATCTAGAGAATCGAGTTACTCTATTGGTCTTTAAAAAAATGATTAAAAAATTATACTGGTCAAAAATACTAAAATATTTTAAAGAATAATATTATAATAAACATTCATTAAAATTCTGCACTCTTCTATCTACTAAATGTGAGTACAATCAAATTCCATTGAATTTCAATCAACAAGTCGTATTGTTAGAGAAGCATAGATGGGGAAAATGTTCTCCTCCCGGTTGACCCCGATTTCCCGGTATTGGGTAAGGTCTTCCCTTATCAGAGGAAAGCTGTGGCAAAAATTCCACAGAACAATATGTTTGCTCAGCGGTCTGGCAGACGAAACCCTAACAACAACGACAAAGACAACAACAATTTGTAGTTCCCACAACCAGTTCTGGGTTATCGGGTCTTCTGCCATGCCAGCTCCATGCTCAATGCTCAAGTGAAAGTGGAAACTTGTTTGTCATTCGCTTCAAGACGGAGATTAAGCGAGACCCCAATTTTAATTTTAAGCGAAACCAAAATATTTGGTCAGAGAGTGAAATGCGGTTCTGTTCGCCAGATTATGCTTGACCAACAGCGCTGATAGCCGATGGATGATAGCCGGCTATCTGGGACACCCTCTGGCCTTGCTACCTCGCCGCAAAAACATTCAAAAAAAAAATGGGCAAAACCGCGCCCGCAGCCTGGGAATACCGCTCGGCGGGGTACGGCGATTACGATTCCGCAGACAGAGTCATACATATGTGCACCGATAACGGGGTACAGATAAGGATGACCAGCAGACCGCAGGGGCGGGACGCAAAAGGGGTGGCAAAACAACAACAACAATGATCGAACGATGCAGCAGTACGTGTGTATCTGTCAGATACTCAAAATACTTGTATCTGCCTGCGCGCATGCGCTGAAAATTTGTCATTTCACATCCGACCAGCCTCTTGTCATTATGTTTATCAGGCAAACATGTCCGACTCCTGATCAGTGATCACTTTGAAATGCGTGAACGCGTGCCGGAAACCTGAGAAGCATGCGAATTTCTCAGATAGTCGTAAATATTCTCCGTTTGCCTTCGGTGGCGAATTGAGTCGAAATGAGCTCAACTTTTGTTGCCGAAAACGATCGAACCGTGATTCGGATTTCGGATTCCGAATTGGGGTCTCTTGTCTGGTAGTCAAAAATGTGTCGGAAGTGGGGCTAATTATGGGATATCGATTGCGGGATAGCAAATATTTGCATGGTGATGGAGTTCCACAAATGTTTGCATAAAAAGAAATTGTCTGGTTCATTATATATCGTTTATGAAGATTAAATGGGCTAGAAGTGGTCTATCTATAAAGCTATATATAAAACGATAGCATTTCTAAAACCATTCAAAGTTACGACAATGATATTGAAAGATAAAATCGAATGCCTTCTTGTTTCTGGCTTAATTTATGGCTTTCAATAGAGGCACCCCCGGGTGGAAGAGCACCTCTACCCCGTATAGTTGATCACTCATTGCCCCGATGATCGTGCACCCCCTGGCTGCGGCTCTGGTTGGTTTAATGTCCAAGTGCACCCCCTGGGGCAGTGAGCACCCCCTGGCCAGCTGGCTACCGCCATTGACAGCCAGTTAAACCCAATTAAAGGCTATCTGCCTGTGTATCTGTATCTGCGAGCATTCTGCGACCGGCCAGCAAATTGCCGTATCCATAACAGGCGCACTCCACTCCACTACAATCCACTCTTGAGTTTGTTTTTCCGCTTGCCTCATTTGTTTGACTAGCCCATGTTGGCCCAGAAGGTTGCTGCAGCTAATTGCCCATTACCTTGGGCCGAGGCAGTTTTTATTTGAGCTAACTGCAGCAAGTCAAAGACTTTCAAATGCCAGTCGACCGCTGTTGTTGTTGCTTTTGTTTTTGTTATTGCTATTTGCTGCCAGCTGCCGCCGATGACGACGTCGTCTTGTGCAATTATCCCTCTTGCACTGCAAGGTATTTCAGTGTATTTACAATTTATTTATATAAACTAATAAACTAAAATACGGATTATATTCCAAAAATGTACTCTAAACATTCGATTCTAAGCGAATTTCGATTTAAAATAAATCGTTCTTCCAAATTCGAAATTAAATTTAGGCCAGAAGAAATTATGGTTTATGTATTTTAATTTTATTTTAACAAAAATCGCTGGAATTCGAATTTTAAGAATATGTATTTGCTTGCATATTTTGCATATTCCAATGTATACTTTTCAGAAAAATATTACTTAAAATAAGAGATAATCTTACCAAAGCTCGGTTAACTATTTATTATTTTTAATGCATGATTTGGATTATGATACAACCAATAATGAATCAAATAATTTTTAAAATACGAAATGAACTTCGATTTGTCTTTCCTTTAAGGGAAAATGATAACAACTTTTCCCCAGTGTGATCCTGGCTGCTGCAATTTTCGCAAGAATATGCGAGAGTTGCCCACGTGCCAACTTTGCTTGAGCAGCGCAATTTGGGTTAATTGTCTGCGGATTAGGCAGCGTCCATTGTTGCATTGCTGCACAAAAAGCCGCTTAACGCCTGGCATTTCTGACATCGACACTCGCCTGGGAGTATGGGGAAATATGGAGTGCAACACTCGTGTTTGTATCGTGAATATACGGCATTATAGACCCTATATCCATCGATCGAACATCGACCATCGACCGGCTGGCTGAGTCAGCTGTGGTGCGCTGAACGATAATAAATTCTGCCATTGTCATTTGACGCGTTTCGAAAACGGAACGGAACATTCGCCTTCCGTCTGGCGTTGCTTTTGTATTTGTATTTATTTTATTTACCTTTGGAAAGGCAATATCGGAATTTACGTAACCCGCCATCGCCATGTCTCCCGATCGTGCAACTTCTGCAATTGCAATTGCGCTTCAACTTGAAATGGGCAAATGGAAATGGAAATTGAAATCGCAGTGGAATGGAATGGAAAACAGCTAGCAGGAATTCGAACTGAATGACAAATTGTCTTTGGATCGCACATCGCATTTGAGCATGTGAGTGACTCAATATCGATGGGTTATATATGCTCTGCCGGAAGCTTGTTTTGTGTTCACAAGGGCGTGGTCGAAACGCCCCAATCTCCAGCTACAAAACCCCCCCCCCACTCGAACAACCTCATTGACTCATTCAGCAAGTCAGGGCAAATGGAATTGAATATTGTTCGCATTTTTGTGTGCGTTCGCTATGTGTCTAAATTGAAAGCCACTTAACCCATTTCGAGCATAATGCGAAACAGTTTGAGCTGTCTAATGGCGAATAGCTGGGCAGAGACTCGGTTATGCTTTATTAGATCACAGATGCGACTGAAGTTCGAAAAAGAAAATGAAAAACAAGCGCAGCCGCAGCCTGAAAAGTCATTAAAGAAACTTTTTTTAATTTTGTGGGTCATTATATAAGACCAATCGTTGAATTTTAACTCACAAAATAAAATAATAAAACGAATACCTGCGAAAATTTTCAATTTGCTTCGCTTTCGCAATATCTGTTGGCCTGGTCAGGTTTGAAAAATGATGCAAGTTGCAACCACACAAAAAAAAATACTAAAGAAGATAATATTTTTAATATTTTTTCATAAATAAATAGCAATAAAATACACAACTTAATTGGGATTATTAAAAATAAATTCATAAATTTTATTTTGCTTCACTCTATTAAATGCCATTTCAATTTTCCTTCGTGCACGGAGCATTGATCACCTATCGTAAATCCAAGATCTCCGATCGGTGGGTGGTGGTAAGTAGCAATAATACCGCCCGCTGACTGGGGCTTAGTTCAAGTTGAACACCGTGAGCGTTATGCAAACATGGGGCGCGGGAATTGACACATGACCAAGATCTCGGTACGTGCGCAGAAATAAAAGCTCAATTAAGCTATGGCTGCATAATTCGTTTTCCATGCCAGCAGACGACTTTCCCGCAAAGCAAAAATGGAAAATGTTGTCGGCGGAAAAAAAAGGCACTTGAAACTTCACTCTTTTTTTGAAGTTTCTAAGTAGCACGTACGTAACATGGCTAACGGTTAATTTCGCTGGCAATTGTGATTTCAGTGG